TATTTTAAAACATTTAAAGAACCCTATTAGAAAAACTGATGACTAGATAAAATATACCCATAAAAAAAGCTGGATCTCAGGTGGGGGGGAAAGGGGGAAGCGATCACAATGATCTACATATAACCTGTTCCCAGGGGAACAGAGAACAGAAACGTAGGTGAAGGGAGACATTGGACAGTGTAAGACATGAAAAAATAATAATAATTTATAAATTATCAAGAATTCATGAGGGAGGGAGGAGGGGGGGAAATGAGGTTCTGATACCATGGGCCCAAGTAGAAAGAAGATGTTTTGGAATGATGATAGCAACAAATGTACAAATGTGCTTGACACAATGTATGTATGGATGGATTGTGATGTGAGTTGTACGAGCCCCCAATAAAATGATTTTTTTTAAAGCTGGATCTCAGGAAAAATATCTGCCTCACCCCACCCCCAAGAAGAGAACCTATAAAAACCAATCAATATCCATTATTTCTTCACTGCTGAAAATGCCTATTAGACATCCCAGAAGATATAGCAGTACCAGAATGAGCTCAGAGAAGCAGTCAAGGTAGAAATAATAAACTCAATGCCATGATCAGCGGATAAAGTGTAACAGATAAAGGTCAAAATCCTTCAGCTCATACCCCTGCCTCCATTCCCAAGCTTCCAGGTAGGCTTCCTGGCTGAGCATGCCAGTGTGTTAGACAGGGTTCTCTAAAGAGATGAAACCAAATTGCTGATAATTTAATATATTTATTTGTAAAGATAATTAGATATATAACAAGAAATGAACTGATAAATCATATACAGATAAATATACAAGAAATGAACAGTTAAATTATAAAGCAGTACAAATGGCTCAGTGCAACTCACTCCCGTGAGAGAGTTGTGAGACACGAGCAGTCCTTCAAATCTAGTCTGCTGCCAGGTCTTCCTCTATATAGAGAGAGCTAGGCTATGTCAGCACAGCAGCCAATCACAAGGCAGGTCACCAACTGTCAGCCAGGTCAGCCAGGGATGCTGGCTATCTCTTTGTACCCTAATATCCACAACCAAACCATCAAACCATCCAGCCAAACCATGAAGCCATCAAGCTTCAACTCACAGTGATCCCATAAGACAGCGCTGAACTGCCCCTATGGTTTCCTGAGACTTTACAAGTGCAGACAACCTCATCTTTCTCCCATTGTCCTAAGGAGGAGCTGGAGGTTCGAACTGCTGACCTTTCGTTTAGCACCCCAAAGTCTAGACCAGGTTTCCTTCTTTGTGCCCTAAGTGGGTCATGTATGTTCTTGTCACATCTCCAAGCCTCCCCATATGCCATATGCTGTTCATGCTGCTGGAATAGGAGTCTCAGTCCGGCCAACTCCATACAACCCTGTCAGCTATGAACGTGAAAACGCCCCAGCTCCTCCGCATGCATCTCTTTTCATCAACTAGATTGGGCGTCCTACCGGGAGTTCCCAGTGAGTAAGCTCTGGATCTCAACAGAAAGAAACTAGACTTGACAAAAGAAAGGATAAGAATTCAGGCCACATCTCACTTCATTCTCTTTCTGTTTCATATATACATTAATGTAAATATTTACCTGAAAGGAGTGTCTCCCTAGAAAGCAGTTTTAAAACCACCACAGTAAATCAACTCAAAGGTCTGCCCCAGTTTTGAGGTATGTCTGAATGTGTCATCCTTTATATGAGAAACAGCTTTGCAGTGACCCTTCAGCAATCTCCGTGTGCTTGGGGGAACTTCAGAGGGATGTATAATTTTTTTTAATCATTTCATTGGGGGTCGTACAACTCTTATCACAATCCATACATATATCCATTGTGGCAAGCACATTTGTACATTTGTTGTCATCATCATTTTCAAAACATTTTCTTTCTACATGAGCTCTTGGTATCAGCTCGATTTTTCCCCTGCCTCCCTCATGAACTCTTGATAATTTATAAATTAGATTTTTTATGTCTTACACTAACCAATGTCTCCCTTTACCCACATTAATGTTGTCCATCCCCCTGGGAGGATGTTATAGGTAGGTCACACCTACAACATGAGGAATTGTATTAAAGGGTTTCGGCATTAAGAAGGTTTGAGACCCACTGAACTAGAGGAAAGTTGTATGTTTCATTGGTGCTATACTGCACCCTGACTGGCCTATCTCCTCCCCGTGACCTGGATGGACAAGATCAAGGTCTCATGGACTTTAGAAAAACAGCATGAATTTCATCCAAACAGTAGATGAAAATAACTGAAATTACTCTGGTCTGAAAACAAGTAGGATTCGCTTCATGCAACACATTTTCTAATAGACAAACTTGCTGGCTCTTCTCGTTCCACTGCTCCGGAGCCTCTCAATCACACACCACACCCAGCTAAAGTTGAGAGCCTGGTGGTCAAGAGCTTGGATCGGCAGGCAAGACGCATGGGTTCCGATTTGAGTTCTTTCATTTGCTTACTAATGTGATCTTGGGAGAACGTCATGAACTCTGTAGCTCAGCTTGTCCTCCTGGAAGAAGGCTAACGGATAACTGATAGGGCTGGGTGGAAGGCTGGATGAAACAGAAGAATTCACAAGGCCGCCTGAGGCGTAGAAAACCAACCAAACTGGACCATTGCCAACAAGCTCATGCTGACTCATTGCAACCCTGAAGGACAGAGCAGAAGTGCCCCTCTGTCTGTCCTTCCAGGAGGAGACAGCTGCTGGGTTCAAAAAGCCACTACTGGGAACAGCCCAGCCAGTACCCACTCTGCTACATGTTGACACTTGAGAAAACAAAAAGTCTAAACTCACAGCCGTTAATACTGACTCAGAGAGACCCTGTAGGATAGGCCCCTGTGACTCTTTACAGGAGTAGAAACTCCTGTCTTCTCCAGGGGATCTGGCTGGTGGTTTCGAACTGCTGACCTTGAGGTTAGCAGCCCAACGCACAACCAATGGGACACTTGGAAAGTGCTCAATTAATGTTAGTTCCAAGTATGAGACACATATTTATCCTCAAGGTGTATTAACTGGATTTCATCGTAGAAGCTTTGAATTAGTCCTCCTTGCTGGCTTAAAATTTAATATTTTCTTTTCATTAAAATACTCTAATCCCCTCTGACCACCACCAATGCAGGGGAAATGCTAACACCAAGTGGCCATAGTGTAAGGGTACGTTTTTATGTGCCGAGTCTTTAATTCCTTCTCTGTAAAGCAAAACACTCTCTATACACCACCCCCAAACACTCAGCTAAGCCAAGAGGAAACATTCATTAAGTTTGTATTCATGAGTTCTGACCTGAGCTGTACTTTTTTAAATCTCCTATTGTAAACTTTTATTACATAAATACACAAGAGCCTTATCGAGCTATAGTTCTTGCCCAAACCTGAGCTGGCAAGGAAATCACTGTATGGTCAGCAATTAATAAGGAAACATTTTATGAGGATCATGCTTTGCTCAGTGCTACCTGAAGGCACAGAAACAAATACTAAACAGGTCTGAATATTGACAGGCAAGACTTGGCTCTTTCCTTTTTTTTTTTTTTTTATCATTAGGGGCTCATACAACTCATCACAATCCATACGTACATCAACTGTGTAAAGTACATTTGTACATTCATTGCCCTCATTAATCTCAAAACATTGGCTCTCCACTTAAGGCCCTGGCATCAGGTCCTCATTTTTTTCCCCTCCCTCTCCACTCTCCACTCCCTCATGAGCCCTTGATAATTTATAAATTATTATTTTGTCATATCTTGCCCTGTCCAACGTCTCCCTTCACCCACTTGTCTGTTGTCCATCCCCCAGGGAGGAGGTCATATGTAGATCCTTGTAATCGGTTCCCCTCTTTCCAACCCACCCTCCCTCTACCCTCCCAGTATCGCCACTCACACCACTGGTCCTGAAGAAATCATCCGCCCTGGATTCCCTGTGTTTCCAGTTCCTATCTGTACCAGTGTACATCCTCTGGTCTAGCCAGATTTGTAAGGTAGAAT